AAAAAAAAAAAAAAAAAAAAAAAAAATCAGCGGGAAACAACTGCTGGCCTGCTTCGTGAGCTTAGGTTTTAAAATTCTGCTCTCATAACCTCTGTCTCTCTGTTCATCTTTGCAGAGTGGCAGCCGGCGGTGCAGATTCTTTTGTATTCCTTGATATTCCTGCTCAGTGTGCTGGGGAACACACTGGTCATTACGGTGCTGATTCGGAACAAGAGGATGAGAACAGTCACCAACATCTTCCTGCTCTCCCTGGCCGCCAGCGACCTCATGCTCTGCCTCTTCTGCATGCCGTTCAACCTCATCCCCAACCTGCTCAAGGACTTCATCTTCGGGAGCGCTGTGTGCAAGACCACCACCTACTTCATGGGTGAGTTGCCGCTGGGGATTCTTTCTTTCCAGAGCTTGCCGCAGACCCCACTCAGCTCCAGACCCTCTCCACCCCTGACCGCCTCGGTGGAGGAGCCCTGCTGAGTGTAGCAAAGATGCAGGCACCAGCTGGACAGCAGGCCAGTCCTCATCTGTCCCTGGCAGTGAGTCCCTAACGGGACGTTTCAGAGGTCAGTTTCAGAGAGTGGAAGGAGTTGACAAGAAACGACAGATGAGGTTGGTTTTGCTTCTGTTAGGAAGAAAGAGGGAATCTGCCACATGGCAGATTTGCCCTGATCCTCCTTGGAAGTTGTTAATGGTGTTCTGAGCCCTATCCAAGCTTTTGGCTGTGGCCAGGGTGGTGGAGGGTTCTTCCTGTGGCTGCTCTTGCTTTCCTAGGGAACAGGGCCTATGTGAACATCAGTTTCATTACAGCTGTAACCTCCCTCCTCAGAGTTCACTTCCCAGTCTGTTCCCCAGAGAGCTGGGACCATCTCAGGCAGACACGGAGAGAGGTGTCCGCTGCTGAGTGAAGAGCTGAATTTGCTTCTTGGGCCTGTGGGTCACTAGCTCATGCCTCTAATGACTGGAGTCTCCCAGAAGCAACCTGCCGTGGAGGGGCCGGCAGGCAGCAATTTCCAGGTGTGGGCTTCTGCAGCCATTCGTAAAGGTGACCTGAGTTCATCACACTCAGTCCAGCTGGGCAAGCATTTGTACTCTTGCCTTGAAAAAGGCAGCTAATGCAAGCCAAGCCCGCTCCACCTTCCAGGCCCCCCACTCCCATTCCTGGGCTGAGATAAGCCCCTCTCTGCCTTTGCCAATCAAAATGGTGGTGATGACAAAAATCACAAGAGTTAATATTTTTAAACAATTTCTATGCACCAAACGTACTACTTGCTTTTACTTCTTTCTATAACCTTATCTCCCAACCATCCTATGAATTATCTACAGTTATTCTTCCCCATCTCACCACGGAAGGAACAGAGGCACAGAGAGGTTAGTAAAGTGTCCAAAAACCTACACAGGTGGTAAGCCACAGAGATAGGATATGAACCCAGCTCAGCAGCTGCCGCCACAGTGAGTGAATACATGGCCTGTTTGTCAACTGCTGCGGCTTTCCTGAAGCTAAACAGAGACAGGCCTCTTGGTCCCCTCTGTCTGCCAAACTGCCTTGTCCATCTCTAGTTTTGGGGGAAGAGGAGTGGTGGGAAATGAGGGGGAAGTTGTGTTTTGTTCTGATCTAAGCCTTGCAAAATATGCAGAGCTGAGTCGGGGCTAGGGCAGTCTTCAGGGCCTGGAAAGCTTTAAAAGCCTTTATTTCTTCCAGTTGAGGAAGAGGGATCCAGCTCTGACAAAACGATGATGAAGTACTGATCTGTGTGCCTCAGACAAAAACCCCAAGAAAGTGTCAATCCAGGTCCAAGTCCTCTGAGAATAAACATGGACTTGCAAATGAAAAGGGTCCTTGTTAAACAATGAAGCAAAAATAATAACGAACATTTCATAGTGCTTTAGGCCTTCAAGATCCAT